AAACCCTGGAACGCCCGTAGGTGAGAAACCCTGAAACTCCAACCGTACTTGTCGCATTTGGAGCATTATACCTTTGATAACAATATTAACTCATAGTTTAGACCTATTCGGCCCTTGATAGTCTCAGTACGCTTTTTACAGACTGTTACTGTGTTGGGGCGGGGCTCTCCCTAAAGTCTCCCTAAACCCTAAACCCTTAAACCTGGCTACGGCTCAAGGCTGTATCGGCTCACGAGGTCTTGGTGGTTAGTCTTGTCCGCCACGGCGCTTACGAAGTACTCGATTCTCCGGAAGTCCTTCGAGTTCAGGGGCGTCTCCCTTGACTTCCGCCTGATTACCCTCTCGCTCGCGAAGCTCCCTTGGGGTGAACCGGCTCGTCGCCTTCTACTTCTTTCTGCGCTTTGTCATTCCCTTGCCTGCTTGGGTGAATGGCTCCCTCTCCACCACCCTCGCCTACAGAGATCATCCGGGACGATGACGACGAGGATTTGGAATCCGTCAAAGAGGAGGTGGACGGGGAGTGTCCCCTGGAACCGTGCGAGGCCAACCCGGTCGGAATGAACGCTGCACCTGCAGAACCGGGGCCGATGCCTGTTGATGCGACTGGTGGCAGTCCTGGTCGTGGGAAGCGCCTTCGTGAACCCACTGCTGTTCATGAGGGTCGAGCTCGTCGTCATGGATCTGGTCGCGACACCGCTCGGGATGATGGTCATGGTGGGACGAATGCCCCCGCAGGCGATGTCAACTTGGATGCCCCGGTCACCACAGGTGAGCTCAAACGTCTGCTTGAAATGCATCTTGGTCCTATCTCTGCCTCGTGGAATGAGATGACTGGACGGGTCCGAAATCTCGAAGAGGCTGGGGCGTCGGCGAAGGAAGAGGTGAAGATGATGCATTCTCGTCTGTCTCGCACCGAACAAAGGGGGGCGAATGTTGAAGCTCAGGTTGCCCAGCTGGCGAAGGACGTCGAGGAGCTCAAGAAGAATAAGAGTGTCGCTCAGCCGGCTGGACCTGGACATGGAGCAGAAGGGAGTGGAACTGCTGGAGATGCCTGGGCCGAATATCGCCTGAAACACGGTCCGGCTCCTGGAATGCGTGCCAACCCCCATGCTGGATCTGCCGCTCGTGAACCTGGAGGACCATCTGGGACGAACGACAACGAGCTCACAGATGAAGACCGACGTACACTCATCATCGGGGGATGGGCTCAGGACTCCAAGAGACAGGTCATTATCGATGAGTGCGCTGGCTTTCTCGCTCAGGATGGGGTGGCCAACATCATTGATCAGGCGGCCATCACTGTTTGGGGCCCTCGTCGTTCCTTCGGGGTGTTAAAATTTCAGCAGCGTGAAGGTGAAGATGCCAAAGGGATGCGAGACAGAATGTGGTGTGTTATCCAGGCCGCCAGATCCACACCGTACTACCTGGAGTCCACCGCCGCGCTGGGGGAGAAGAAGAAGCTTTGGTGCAGTTTCACAAAGACAAGAGAAGCCAGACGTCGTAGCTCGCATGGGTCGATGCTTCGTCGCGTATGTCTGGCCATGGTCATTGACGCTGCGCATAATGGGGAGGCTCACAACATGCAGGCCAAGGTTGAGACGGCCTATGAAGTGGACTGGGGGTCGGGAACAGTATGGGTTGGAGAATGGAAAATCGGGTCTGCAACCCATCGCATGCCGAAGGACGATGGTGTCAAATCACTCTCTTCGGGATGGATTGACCTCACAGCTATCTCGAGAGCGACTGGGGTGGCCTACGATGTGGCGTTGGCCGCCTTTGAGCGGGAGTTGTGACCTCAAGAGCCTGGGGGTTTCACCGATAGCCTCGAATTTGGTCCGTCGCCGAACGGTGAGGATCCTCGGGGTGATCTGCCACGTCCTGATACTCGACCTCAAACGCGGGTCTTGAGGAAGCTTGGGTCGTGGAACGTTGCTGGTCAGGACATGTCGAAGATCGATGTGGTTGCCGGCTCCTTTGACATTTTGTTACTTCAGGAAGTTTCTCGAGGCAAACCAGGATGGGATGAGAAAACAACTGACAATTTCGTCTGGTTCAGTCACCAAGGCAGTCAACAGTGGCGTGGTGTGGGTATTGGGGTGGCTCGTGAGCTCTTTGATTCCATCACTGACAAGACTTTTTGCGAACGTGGAGCAGCATGGGTTGTTCGCCTCAAGAGCCACAAACGTTTGATCCTGTGCTCCCTTCACTGCCCCACCGGGGTGAGTGTTGCCGTCTACCACAAGGAAGTTGCTGAGTTCAAGAAGATGTTGGGTAAATGGCACCCTGACCTTCCTGTCCTTGCTGGGGTGGATGTGAATGAAGTCGTGAGCTGGAATAGCGAGGACTCGGTCGACGCTACTGTGCGTTCTGGGGCGAAGGTTGACAAAGCACTGGAGGCCATGGCTCTTCTCCACCTCCGAGCCGTTCCTCCTCGACTGTGTGACCGCCGTAGACCCACTCACTACCCTCGGGATGTGACACGAGAAGGCCGACACATTGATGCCCTCTTCACGCGCCGCATTGGGGTGAGTGCCGTCACCCTGAGACCTGAATTGCGGCTTGAGATCAACACCGACCACGCACTTTTGGAAGCCCATGTTGAAATCCAACCCTGCAAGCCTTGCAAGTGGTATGACAGTCGTGCACGTTGGGTCGTCGGAGATGAACCCCTCCCTATGGTCAACAACTGGGGTGATGTTGAAAAGCTGGCTACCTCGAGATGTCGAGCACGCACAAAGTGCTGCTATCAAGATGATGAGGAGATTCGCCGCCTCATCGCAGATGCCAGATGTGCTGAAGGGGATGATCGCAAAGTTGCATGGAAACTGATCCACAAGGAAAGAAGACGGCGTCGTCGTAAGTGGCAACAACAGCGTATCACGAACATCCTGTATGGCGACTGGGATGCGTACCGTGCCTACAAGGCAACAAGACGCAGAACGAGCTGGTGGGGTGAACTTCTTACCAACAAGACAAGTGACACCGTTGCAGGCGAAGTACAGTCCCATCTTGGCCAGAAACTTTGGGATGTTGCACGGAATTGGGATGTCGACCTCCAGCTGAGAATCGCCCAACTTGATGTCTCTCGTGCCATCCTCAGTCCTGTTGATGAGATTGAGATCTTATCTGCCTTGACTGGGATGCGTGCTCGCTCTGCTGTCGGCTGTGACAAGATCTCCGTTGACCTTCTCAGACGACTGGCCCTTGAACAGCCAAATGCACTCTGCCATATGTGCACTGAAGTTCTCCGGGATGGTTCCATTCCAGATAATTGGGGAGTGTCGCTGTTGGCTTTGCTTCCCAAGTGTCTTCACCCCTCCACTCCTGGTGAACTCCGGCCGATTGCCATGGGGAGTGCAGCGATGAAGATGATGTCCCGCATCGTCATGAACCGTTCTTTTGGTCAACTCCGTTCGCCCTCGTGCTGCTCTGCATCTGGTAAGGGGCGCCAGTCAGCCGACCTCATCGGGACGTTCACCAGACTACGGGATGTCTCACGGGAGTGGCGCATTGGGGTCGTTGCGGCCAAGTTGGACGTTCGTGGTGCTTTCGACTTCATCGACAGGGGCTGTGTCGCAACATTCTTGCAGGAGAGATTGACCGACGATGGGTCGATTCTTGAACTCCCCTTCTTGCTCCAGCTCCTTGCTGAGAACATCATGATTGGCACCGCCCCTGGTGGCCAGAAAGTCGCTGTCAATGCCAACCGTGGTATTCGCCAGGGGAGTCCTGAGTCCGCTGAGTTGTTTGGACTTATCGTTGCCCATGAACTACAGCGTCTTCGCCTTGGCGGCTCCTGGCTCCCCCCTGGGGGCAAGCTACGGGATGTTCCAGCTGATGTTGGTTGCTTCCAAGACGATATCTTCCTCTGGAGCAATGACATTGCGAGGGTCGAGAAAAACATCGCTGGTATTTCCGCAATGTTAGCTAGACTTGGGTTGTCTCTGTCTCCTGAGAAAACGTGTGTCATTGCGAACAAGTACTACAAGGGCAACAGGAGTCTCCAAGTCGACGGTCGACGCGTTGCGATTGCTGCCGCAGGGTGCTCCATGCGAGTCCTGGGGATCGACTTCGATCTCGATGCGGGGTGTAGCCAACAGAGTCGTGAGATGTTAGGGCGCATTTGGGACGCCTTCCATGCTAACAAGGAAATCCTTTGTGGACACGGCAGTTGGGGTGCGAAGGTCAAAATGTGCCGCTCTCTTGTAGAAGGCACTTGGTCTTGGACTGCCGGGGCGTTACACTGGGCCAACGATGACCTGTTGATGATCAATTCTATCCAGCTCAGGTTGTACCGCCTTGCCTTTGGGATCAGACGTAGCACCGATGAATCTTGGGTTGAGTACAACAAACGCAGTCTCCGAACTGTTCGCGCGTGGATGCAAGCTCAAGGGGTTGAAAGATGGAGCACCAAGGTGTTGAGGTTGCAGTTTGCCTTGTTCGGCCACTGGTGTCGTCGTCGTGAAGGAACCGATGAATGCCTTCCCGCTCTGATGTGGGGATGGCGCAGTCTTAAGTGGTGGCGTCATGAACAGGCACTGCATTGCGGCGCTAGGCACCCCGCGAGATTCCATGCTAACAATGCTGAGAGGGATATCGCCGAAGCCCTGGGTCTCAACTGGAAGCAAGCCGTTACCAACCGCGAGGGGTGGAAAAACTTACTGCCTCTCTGGCTTGCTCACCGTGATGTCAGTTGGTCGCGTGGTCGTCAGCCCGCGCTGCCTGGTCACACTGTGTTCGTGTAGTGCTGCTTCTCTGGGATGGCCCGTTGCTTGTTCAATCGAGCTGCCCTGGGACGTGAAGTTGCATCTGTGAAGTCTGCCATGACTGAGTATGCCGCTCCATAGCCTGGGTTCACAAGCTCGCTGAGTACATTCGTTGCATTTGTTGCACAACACCACTTTCACTTTGACTCTTACGATCTTTGGGATGAACGTGACATGTGACCTCTTGTTCTACTTGGAAAGTTTGTGTGTGTGAACTCTCAATTCGCTTCAACGATGGCCCCGTGCTTCGCTGCGCCGCTGCTGGCTGGCATCCTGGGATGCTTCCTTGGCCATGTGGCGATGGGTCGACCTCCACAACGCGCTGCAGTCCCCCCTCGTGACGATCAAGAACGAGAACAAGATGGGGGATGGGATGAGCCAGAATGGTATGAGCCACAGCCTGAACCTGTCGCTGATCCTTATCACCAGTGGAACACCGGTGGGGATGGTCCGTCACATGGTCAAGACCTTGGAATGGGTCAATGGTCGCCCTCTTGGACTTGGTCTTCCTGGGGTGACTACACCAATACTCCGTGGTACACAGCCCCCAACCAGGGATGGAACCAACACCATGACTGGAGCGCGGCCACGCCTGGGACCTCAAGCATGTGGTGGGGAGAAAGCTGGTCTGCCAATCATCACGATCATGGGGGGTCGCACCAACAACCACCAGGCCGAGCTGCACATGAGCAATGGGGACGTGATGCACCTGTATGGCATGGACAACAAGCTGAACTTCGCCCTCCCGTTCGTCTTCGACCTGCTCAAGATGTACATCGTGCTCGAGGAGATCAACAATGGGATGATCCAGGTCTACGATCTCGTCAACAACAGTGGCGGGAGGAACAACGACCCCGCCGTGGGCAAGATCCTGGCCAACCTCCTGCTGGTGAGGCTGAACATTCAGATGAAAGCCGTGGTCATTACCTTTGGGTATCTGGATGGGGTCGTGGCGCTCCTCTTCTTCCTCCTGACCGTCGTGCTCCTGGGTTCTATCGTGGTGGCTATTGGTTCGACCGGCCTCGAAATGACTGGGAAGAAAGATGGCAACGTGGTGGAGGAGGTGAGACTCGAACCCAACGGAGAGAGGGTCGGCAAGCACAATGGTTTGATGGCTCCTTCCGCCCAGCCGCCTTCCGTCGAGCTCAAGAACAACACAGTGGTGGGGTGATACCGGATCCAAGCATGCGTGACCACTTTCGGGAGCTGCTAAGACAAGCTGATGCTCCCCTTCGAGGCCGTGGTTGGGGTGGTGTTCAACATGATGAAGCACGGGGTGACCAATCTGCACCTGGGACGACGCACCAAGTCCAATCACAAACGGCTACCGGGACGTGGACGTCGCCAAGATGGACGGCTGCCGAGTGGAATGCCTGGTCTATAGAAATGACCCGGCGACGCTGCAGAGACACTGATGCAGATGGGGCGGAAAGCAACCTGGACTGGTCCGGCGCTGGTTTACCTGACCTTCAGTCCTTTGTGGCAGCATTGTCGTCAGGGATGCAAGACACATGCTCTTCTACCACGACTACCATGCTGCAGGGGATGTCTACATCGACCTCTTTGCCCTCATCACAGAGTTCATCCACGTCGTCCTCTACTACGCTGAATGGGGTGGACACCATCCAAACTGATGACGACACCACGGTCCTCATGCAAACACGTGCAACAGGCTCCGGTGACCCACCAGCAAATCCACCTGAGGAAGATGATGAACCTGGTGAACGTGGGGATGCTACTGATGCAGGTGACAACAACACCAACCCTGAGGAGCCTGCGGAGCCCGAAGTACCGTTTCAGCTGACTGCCGACGAGAGGGATGAACTCATCGAGTTGGGATGGGACGCTGGAGTTGTTGAAGACCTGCGTGAGTTCCTGGCGTACTTGGAAGATGTTCGTGATCGAGCAGGGGTGGAAGCAGTGGCGTGGGCCCTTGGCCAGTGGGCTCATTCGCTCATCCTCTCGGAAACCACTCTGGATCTTGTGCATGACATTCTGTTTCGCCGGGTAGGTGGGGTGAACGAGCTTCGACCAGATGATGTTGGGATGCGAGGACGCCTGTGTGTGGGGTTTGCCGGCTTCCAGAAGGTCCTTGGGTCGTTCCACCTGAAGATCGTCCAGAGGCTCATGCAGGATGTCTGGTTGGAAGCCAAGGACGTTGGAGATCCGCCCTACTTGCCGCCGACTGGGATGATGATCGCTGCCAACACCAACACGGCGGCCATCGCGCTGGACACTGCCCGTGCTCGAGCACGTGCTATGGTCACACGAGCCAGGAACCAGCGTGGGATGCAAGAACCGCCTAGTGGAAGGGGACGTTCCGGTGTTGATGAAGCTGCCGAAGATGCACGTGCCAGTCATGAACCACCACCGGGACGTACCGACTATGACAACAATGGCAATGGTGGTGATGATACAGGCGAGGAGGAGGATGATGCTGCCCTCATGCAGCTCACACCGACGGAGGAGAGCCTTCTTCACGACCTTGGGGTGTGTGATGAACTTCGTGCACGACTACGTGAACTTCTTCGTGGGTTGGAGCTCCAGGAACAGAGAGATGTGGGCGCCGAATACCGCTGGGGTGTCCAACAACTCTTGCACTCTTCCTTCGAGGCGACGTCTGTGGTACAGGGGGTGCTTCGCATCCTGCGTGACAGGGTCCAACCAAGTGGGGTGATGTGCAGCTTTCCGTGTCAGCGTGTACCACCCCTCGGACCTCTTCGCTCACGGGTCGTCGCCTGGATGTCTGAATACAGGCATCTGGTGGTGCAAGCCTTTGACCGGGAGATTGAGGCCAGTCTCCGGGAACTCACGGGGTGCCCGCCTGGAAGCACCAACCCGTTTGGGCCCTTTCCTGACGTGGGCGTGGGATGGAATCGTGCCACTCGGGAGGCGCCAAGAGGAAGTCGTTCTCGTTCCCGGGGTCGTGATGTTCGACGTGAAGAACCTCCTGCTGCTGGAAGTGAAGGTGGGGGTCATGGGGGTGGTGAACTTCGACGTGATCCTCCTGCCCCTGCTGCACGTGCAAACCTCGAAGCACAACAAGCTCTACCTGTACAACCTGCTCTACCTGTACATCGTGGTGAACAAGTCGATCATGATCTTCCTCAAGGTGCTCTTCCTGTTCAACATGCCGATGAAGGGGTAGCTGACATGGTACCTGGGGGTGAACAACTCGAATCACGGGACGGATGCACAAGCAGTCAAAATGGTGCTCCTCCACCTGGACATGAAGATGTAGGGGAGCAGCTACCACCGACTTTAGAGACTGCTGAACCTGCCCTACCTGCACCTCCTGCCGATGGGTGTGCAACCACGAGCTCTTCTAACTCTCCGGGTCGTCCTCCGTCCTCTGAGCTGGCTTTGTCTGAAGGGGTGACCACTGAGCCGTAAGGTAGGCTGTCTAGAGGCTGCCTTGCTCAGCTGCAGGTTTTTCGTGAGCTTGATCAGCCATACTGTGAAGCTTCATTGTCTGGCGATTGAGAGGTTGTGATGTTGCTCTTGGGATGTTCCTCTTCCTCAGAGCACCTCCTTTTGTGTAGGCCTCAATGAGGCAGGCCGACGCTGCACAACAGAAAAGGCCGCTGCACCTTAAAAAAAAAAAACCCTTAAACCCTAAACCCTAAGCCCCGAAAGTGGGTTCGAGAGGCAGCGCAGGAGGATGAGGAGGACGATGCGAGCGTCGATGGCGAAGGAGGCCACCTTGGACTTCGTGTTCATGGGGCTTCGGGTGTAGGCGCCTGAACGGTACTAGGGGGATTCTATACTAGGTGACCCTTTAAGGGTACTTTGGGTTCTATATTTAATGGGTTTCCCTTTCAGGGGTGGCTAAGACTTGACGGGGATGTTTAACTACACTTACCTACAGACCTACAGACTCCGTGGTTTCGGTGATTCTGCTTGTGGGTTTCCGTTTGCTGTCTGCGGGGTTACTGTCTCTTTGCGCGGTGTCTGCTGTCGTCATGCCAGTACGGCCTGAATTATACGAGCCCCGAGCGTTCATGGAACTTGATTATAATGATTAGGGTGTTGTTTTTCCGGGTTGAATACCTGCTAACAATAATTTAAGTATCATCATCAACAACATTATAACGCCAACAGCATCATCATCAACATCAGCAGCATCACACCGTAATTGTCATCAGGATAATTAGAAACATACTCTGGTGTATTGCAGTAGTCATGAAAATGAGTGAGTGAATAATGGTAGTAAGTAGTTACACTGACAATGGCAGTAATGACAGTAAAGGTAGTAACTAAAAAATAACAATATTGTACAAGCAAAGAAGAGAGTAGTAGTTATAACAAGAAGAAAAGTTGCCACAACAGCAATAAAAGACAATAACAATATCGACAGTGTAACGAAAACCATAGCAGAAATAATAAGAACAAGAGAAAACAACGGTGATGATATTTGTTGTGTTCTTAGGCTCGGAGTTGCGGGTGGCATCGTGCTGTTTAAAGCCTTGGAAATCTGTTAGATCCATGAGAGCTCTGAAGCAGCCTTCGGAATCTAAGTAGAAATAGCAGTAAAAGATAGACGGATAGACGGATAGCTGGATGGATCAGGTTGATCTGTAGATCGATAGACCGGCAGATCGAAAAATAGACATTGATAGCGGCCCTGGACTGGGGTTCCCTCGGATTCACTTGTGGTTATAGCACAATATTCTGCAAAACCTTATTCCAATCAGGTCCTACAAAGCCCCCACCCCCCGTCTCTAGATCCTTCTGAAGTCCGCAGAGCCGTCTCCAGAGCCCATAAATAGATAGAACTTTAGAGAGTGTTGTAATGTAACAATGTCAAACGAAAACCGTAAGCCATGAATCATGCAACCAAAGCAGAGAAGCAACATCGGAGCCTCTGACTATTGCAGCTCTGTTGTCATCTTCGCAATACTGGCAGCCAAAGCTGTCCATTCCAGCCACTACACAAGACATTCTTCTCGTTGCTTCCGCTTCGAAGACCAAATAGGTCGAACTAAATCCTGGACACCGTCTATGATCGCGCATTGAACATGGAGTGGAGATTGGTTTGTGCTGATGCGCCAAGACTTTGTGCCCTATTGTGTTACTCTGTGTGTGTGTGGTGTGTCCGTTCTCTGTCACCCATTCCCTGGTGCCTAGATTCTCAACAAGACTTCTACCCTCCACACCCGAAGACCCTAAGCAACCCAAACCCTAGGCCCTAGAGCCAAGCTTCAGAAATCGAAATATAGAAGCCTAAATGCCAATACCCTTCCTGATGGTTCATGTTATAAAAAAATAAAATGAGTCATAGAGCCCAGAGCCCCATTCCTTGTATTGAGGCCCCAACATGAAAACTGGACCACCCGAACAGCACTAAAATCCTAAACCCTAAACACCACAATAAGATCCCTAATGGTATCCATAATGGACCCCTTTAAAGGAACCCTAGGCCCCTATATAGATCCCTCATAGTACCCCTTATAGACCAACCCTAGCTCTGCAAACAACCATTCATGAGGTCCCTCACAGTCGCCTCCCGAGGCCTCCGGCGGTCTAAGCTATTAAGACCTAGAGCTTAGGGTTTAGGGCTTAAGAGCTTAGGGTTTAGGGCTTAAGAGCTTGAATGGGGAGTTCTAAACGGGTGGATACCATTGTTTTGGCTCAAGGGTTTAGGGTCAGGGGCTCGTTGGTTTAGTGGGTGGGGCCTTCAGAATGTATTCAGGCTGGTCAAGACTTCAGGGTTTGGGTGTGTAATGAAGGTTTAGCACACCTGCGAGAGCAAGTAATACCCGTTTGAAGGTTGGCAAGTTGTGGCGATGCAATGCATGGAGCGGGGTAGAAGATGTGCCAAGATGTCGAGGCGTTCACAAGGTTGGGAGGATGGTTTTCGTGGTTGGTTCCTTGTGTTGCCTTGTCGTGAAAGGTACTCGTACCTGAAGCCGTGCACAGCCTCTCGGACAGGATTCCCCAACCTCCGTGCCGTTCCCGCTCGGGCTCCAAAACCGTCCAGGGTTGCCACTCACATGGGTAGTTCTCCAAATTTGGGAGCGATTCTAGGTCCCCAAAATAGTATGGCACCCTTACAAACAAGACTCTAACTTGGAGAACTACCCATATAGTGCCCATATAAATATAGAAACCCTTAAAGATCCCTGTAAAGAACCTGAAAATCCTAAAAGGAGACCCTATATTAGAGAGCTACCGGCCTGAGCGAAGACCCGGCACCCGAAAGTCTACATCCGACGTTAGCTTCCCAGAGACTCCAATATCCCTTAATTAAGACATAATAGCTTGAATCATATTAGGGATCCTACTATAGTTTAAGGCTAGGATGCCCAGTAGTACCCTTATTCCCTTTTTGTAGTCCTAGGTTCCTTATAAAGTTACTCAATACCAAAAAGAGAGGCCATTTTATTCTTAGGTTACTGGGTATCCTAGAAGGTATATTCCTTAATCAAGGGATCTTGGAGTCTCTGGGTTGGTGGCCCTCCGCGAAATACTTGAAGTGGTCCTTAAAGGGTTTGTTGCTATGAGGGTCCGAGCTTGGGCTTCTTTCTGGGGTTACAGGGTTACTATAAGGGTTTAAGGCTCCGGGCTTTAGTTTTTATGGGTTCCTTTATGGATCATTTAGAGGTATCTATATACATACTCCTTGAATGGATCCCAAAACTGCAACCCGTTCGGATTTAGGTTTTCGAGCCCCAAAACGAAGCACTGCACTCTGAATCCCTACACTCCTTGCCCAATCCTGGTCGTAAACCTCAAACTCCGCATCATCAGGGTTCAGGGCTTCGGCTTCTTGAAGTCTTAACCGAGCGGTCCACCAATCTGCAGTTCGATCACGCGGACAGCGACAAAGCAAGCTCCTCTGCCGGGGCCCAGAAACCGTATATTAACATTTGATAAAATCACTTTTCTGCAAGTTCCTTCTGACCTTCTGGTTTCAGCCCGTATAAAACCCTACGTATCGCCCTCTCAGTGGTAACCGCCGGCCCCTTGGGGCTTGGCGGTTCGGAGATTTGGGGATTTTGGGCGGAATTCCGTAAATCTCAACTGGGCTTCACAAGCCCTTAACGCTTAACCCTATTTGCGTGTTAAATGTTAAGGTCTCGCATTTGAGGCCCTGCAAACTTAGCATTTCCGGACCCAGAGCTTGAAGGCCACTAATTCTGTATTGACATCGTTTCATTCGGGTGATGCTTACTATACACATGCGTGACTTAAAGCTACGGATTGGTGTGGACTACCTATAGTCTATAGTCTCCATTGTAGTTCCTTTTTGTGGTTTAACCAATTCTATATTAGGGATCCTAGAAGGTAACCCCAAAAAGGAACTACAATGGAGACTATAGGTATTCCTTTATGTATTCAGCGCTTTGTGAAGTAGGGTCCTGAGGATGGTCCATACTTGGAGGATCAGGGGACTTAGTAAGTGAGGTTATAAGTCCCCCTAATTGGGGTTATAAGTATTTATAAGTCTAGTTACCTTATTTATAGCCCTAGTTACTAAGTCCCATGATCCTTTAAGTATAGTGTAGGGTTCAGGGCTTTGTGAAATAGGGTCTTCAGGATTGACTATAAGATCGTGTAGGCATTGAGTGCCGACATCCTCGCTATTTTTGACTGTGACGCTCAAAAATGCCCAGATGTTGGACCTGAGAATAACATGCGATGTGCAAGCCTAGCATGTCGCGACGCGAAGGATCGCGCAACTTTCTGTGTTTATCTGCCTTCTTGATGAGCTGTTCGCAAGAGCATGGCCCCGTTAGTCTGCTCCGCACCGTGCCTGCCATCCGTGTCTAGTTTTAACCCTAAACTTCGGCATGCATTGGATCAGCCTCCACACGGTCAGGGAAAAAGGGCGGATTATTCAGCACTAAACGCAATAGTATTGAACCAACAATAAAGATAGTAGTACTAAAAGTGATGAATACAACGAAACTGCAAACAACAGTAGTCGTATTCATCATAGATATATAATAATGAAGCATGCGCGCCCAGAAGATCTAAGGTTAAGGCTTTGGGGTTTAGGGTTTCAGGGTTTGTTTAAGCTTTGAGGCTTTGATGTCGTCGGAGGTTTCGGATCAAGTGCTTCCTTTGTTTTACTTTGGCGGTGCATCGGTGTAGGGTTTAGGGTTTACGGTTCGCTTTGCCTCCAATTCTGCACTCCTTCCGACCTGCGCCAATGCCCAATGCTTTACCCCAACTCTAGAATGTCACCTGGACTAGACTAGACCCTCATTATTGACAGACTTTAAACCTTTCTCAGCCCTAAATCTTGTAAACTTTCTTTGACCCCTAAACCCCTAAAGCTGAAGCCCAAAACCATAAACCCTAAACCCCCAAACCCCATAGATCCCTTTAAAGGAACCCTAAACCCTACAAGTCCTATAGATCCCTTTAACGGAACCCTAGGCCCTAAA